TTGATATGGCGTTAAAAAAAAATCAAAGAACCAAATGAAAGAACATTTTCAGGAGATTAATTCATATAATATCATAAAGTTTCTTGATGAAATCAAACAATTTCAAAATATAAGTTCAACGAAATTACGACATAAATCACCGCCTATAGAAATTATGTCCACACAAACATGTATGCGCACAAAAGAATAATATATATCATATTTTTATTACTTCAAAGCTCTCAAGAAAATAAAATTTAAGCATTAAATAACCCACGAAGGAGTTGATAGGCCGTTAAACAAGTCAATCAACCAATCAATTAAAATCACGATGTTTTTATCCCAAAATAGTCACAACTATCAAGATCTTTTGATTACCGCTCTTGTACACGAGTGTGATATAATGACAAATTCTTCTTCTTCTTCTTCATTATTATTATTAATATTATTATTATTTTTATTATTAGTAGTAGTATTAGTAGTAGAAGTAGTAGTATTAGTATCTTTAATTATTAGAGCTTTACGTTTTCCTATGTCAGCATAGCCCTGGTTGACAACCAATCAACCGCAGAAATAAACGGCAACCTACTGCGGGAAATATTCTCCCTGGTCAGTCATGAATCGAAAGAGACATGATCGCCCAAGCGAATATTACGTGTGGCACTTAACTGACTGATGTCAACATGACATTATTTTTTTGTTTTTATCAAAGTCGTTATACTTTTTATAATAATGGCAATTCACGCTGAATCCATTACAATTCTATTATATATTTATTATTATTGTCAATTTTATCACTCTCTTAATGAAACCTGGTGCTCAATAAAATTATGATTGTTTTAGAATCAAGAATCCTAAGTCAAATATTTGTCAGTCACTTTACCAGAAGTCGTTATCGTTTTTGTTTCACCATGCATCTCATCATCATCAGTGTTGGCGAATTACAGACAGCTTCCAAGATGTTTTTGCGTTGACTTTACACTTGAATCGTGACGTGCGTGTGATTCCCACTGAACTGAAGTGAAGAGAAACGAAGCTGAGACCCAGTCTGATGTCCATTGTATTCACTCTGGCAAGAACTAGGTGCAAAATCAGATTTTGGTAGTTGTCCCTACTCACTTGAAGACTTAAAGTGTTTCCAGTAACGACGCGCCAAAAAAAAAAAAAAAAAAAGAAAAGAAAAGAAAAAGAAAACAAGATTCGCGCGTGACCCTTTTCAAATAATTCAGATACAGATGACAAGCAAAAAAATTGTAGTTCGATCTTCGCTCCTGTAATCGCTTCATAGCCACTCAGGTTTTGACTTGTTTTAAACAAAGCCTTCGTAGAAAAACTCATCTCAAGCTTGTTGCGAAATACAGATCCTCCATTACGTGTGGTTATTGTCAACTCAAGGTTGCTGCCATGGTTTGCATGACAAACAAGGCAATCAAAATGATTAATGTCCCTAATCACCTGAGCTCTCTTCCTCTTCTACAGACACTACCACGGCATGATTCACGTGTGGCTTTCTGTCCACGTAGCTCTTTCACCAAAAAACAAGAGTAATTTTGTATTTGCCGCATACGTGGAAAGCAATTATATTAAATCGATTTACAGAATTCCTTACTATTCAAAACAGTAATCAATCCATTTGCACACATGTGATCCTATTAAAATTATTTCAATAAAGCATTTGAAGGATTCTGGTATTGTCAGTAATTCTATGTGTCTTCATTTCTTTGTGCTTTAATCGCCACAATCACCAAGATATCTGTCCCTACCGGCATTTGCGCATGGCCTTCACTTTCCAGCATCTAAAATACATTCGCACAAAGTTCCAAAGTTTGGTTCATTAAAATAAAAAAAAAAATAAAATGTTCATGGCCAAGGACGGATGCCAAGTATCGATACTGACATATATTGTAGATAGATAAATAGAAAGAAAGAAAGAGACTGCTATAGATAGATAAATAGATAAATTGATAATAGTCTGAGATGAACTGATAGAAAGAAAGAGACTGCGATAGACGCTAGATAACAGGAAAGAGACAGACTGAGATACATAGAAAAATAGATAAATTAACAATAGTCTAAGATAGATAGAAAGAAAGAAAGAAGGCAAAAAAAAGAAAAGAAACAGACTGCAATAGATAACTAGATAGCAAGAAAAACAGACTGAGACAGATAGATCGATAATAGTTGAGATAGAGAAACAGAAAGAAAGAAAGAAAGAAATAGACTGCGATAGATAACTAGATAGCAGGAAAGAAACTGAGATAGATAGATTCATAATAGTCTGGGATAGATAGATAGATAGATAGATAGATAGATAGAATGATAGAATGATAGAATGAATGAAGAGCTATAAATAGATAAGAATATATACAATTTTGTATATGAACCTACTGGGCATAATGGGTAGCAAGCTTGTCTCACTAGATCTATTGTGACATAGTAGTGAGTTCGATCCTCACTGGCTGCTACTCACTTTAGACTTTGTGTCACATTTAAATTACGCTTAGAAAATCAACACTAGGTGTATATGTGGGATAGACAGTTATGAAGAGATTATATATATATATATATATATATATATATATTTCCTTAAAAACGACAGACAAGATACTGTGGTTAGCATTTTATTCAGCTTTTCTTCTTTCATGCAAGTAATTTTTTCTGGATATAAAGTGTGTAAAAAACTGTCCAAATGTTCTATATATCCGACCGCTTTCGGCTATTCCAATATCTAGGATTTTATTTTTTTTACTGAATATGTGGATTTTATATATGTGAATCTAAAGAGATGGGGATGCTTTCTTATTTTCAAAACACACTCAGCACGTTGTGACCATGTTCATATTTGATACTATTGAATGTTTATTTTTTCTTTTTTTGTTATTAATTATTCCATTATTTTACCATTTTTGGCTCTAGTTATGGTCAAGGACTGATTCTAGGCCATAGCTAAATTAAGACTAATTTAAGTAGACACGGAAACCTATCAAACACCGTAGGTAGGTAGGTATATAAAAAATAAACAGTCTTCGATAGCTATATAGAGAGGTAGATTATAAACAGTCTTCGATAGATAGATAATGAGCGGTATTCAAGAGATATTTCGTTGGTTAGACAATGAAAAGTCTTTGGTAGATGGATAATAAACAATCTTCGATAGATAGATAGATAGATAGATAGATAGATAGATAGATAATGAAATAGATAATGAATACAGTCTTCGATATACATAGAGAGATACATACATAGATAGAGAGAGAGAGAGAGAGAGGAGTTTGGTTTGTTGTTTTACGGCATATCAACCTCAATGGATTATTTAATGACGGCAAAAATTTTATTGCTGGTAATATTTTTTTTTTTAAATGTATTGCTGGTAATATTTTTTTTTTTTAAATGTATTGCTGGTAATATTTTTTTCCTTCAAAAATATATTTCTGGTAATATATTTTCTTCAAAAATGTATCCCTGGTAATATTTTTTTTCAAAAATGTATTGCTGGAAATAATGTATTCTTGGTAATAATTTTTTACAAAATATTTGTGATATTAAAACCTATTTTACACTTTCATAGTGTGTTGACCTCGGTTTGGGGGTTAATTATTTACTCATAGTTGGGACCTTAACAGGTGCAACCACCCTGGGTCAAGGTGAACTTGGAAATATCAGCAATTAAGAGTTGGTTCCATGCTCCTCAAAAGCTCCTGATCAGAGGCCTTGCTGTTGGATGTAGTTTATCGTCTTATCCAGGACGCGGACATAGTTTATCGTCATACCCAGGACGAGATAGGTAGATAAATAGATAAGGTAAGGAAAGAGTATATATATATATATATATATATATATATATATATATATATATATATATATATATATATATATATATATATATTTGGATCGTATTTACGATTCCAATGGAATAAATTATGACCATGGAATATTAGTGTTTAAGCCTTTTTATTATATCGTTACTCTGTCCTAGACATTGAGTTCTACCTGGATTCTTCCTCTTGGAAAAATTTTTTCTGAAAATATACATGTATGGGGTATTTTTTATATATTTTTGCATATGTATGTATATTTTTCCACTAATATTATCTATCTATATATCTATATATATATATATATATATATATATATATATATATATATATATATATATATTTAGAGAGAGAGAGAGAGAGAGAGAGAGAGAGAGAGAGAGAGATAAAAAGTCTTAGATTTGAGAGGGTGTATGGAATAGAGCAGATAGACATGAACTGAGATACAAATAACGCAAGATTCTTGCGTGTATAAGAACAGAATAGGTTAGATATCAATAAATTAGTCTAGGTAGATAGATATAAGTAGATAGATAGCCAGATATATAGACAGATTCCTTTGTTTATATTCACATACTATAGCGTGTATAAAAATAATCCCTACACTCCAGAATAAAAGAATTTCGGCGGTGAATATTAATTACATATGTTGAACATATACAGTGACATTTTCATGTAGGAACTACTTGTCATGCTATATTCGTTTCGCCATACATTACATGTATGAAGCGTCACGATTGGAATTAGTTTCAATCAAATGTATTGGTTACTCGTTGAAGTGTCCGCATTACAATTATAAGCGTTATGAAAAACGTCACCCACCTTTCTTTATTTATTGCATACATGTTTATACAAAAACACAGAATGCGTGTCCACGTTGAATCCCCAATAAATACACGAATATTTAAGAATACGGGTTTCTTATAACGTAAATAAGGTCTAGAATTATCAATAATATTCAATAAGGATTACGATTAATAATGTTGAATTTCCCTCATGTAAAAAAATAGAAAGAAAACATTTTGTACACAGCGTTTCATTATTTCAAAAGTCTTTCGAAAAGAAACTTTGCCACTTTCTTTTTTCTACTTGTGTCTTCATACTGACCACCATGAAGATCTTCGTGTGCCACTGTTCTATTCTTGAAACTACTTCCTTATTGGTTTCCCACATTCGACCTTCACTTGAGGTCTTCTGAACTTTGTCCCCGTCATTAACATCGTTTTATAGTCCACTTCACTTCCGGTCAGGCAAAAAAGCAAAACTCAAGAAGAATGACACCCGACAACAACAGACTCCCTCATTAGCAGTATACCAGCATGGTCGGAAGTAGGAATATTTTATTTTCTGACCATACTTTTTTCTTCTTTGTTTCTTTCCAGCATTTTTTCTAAACGTTATATATGGTTTCAGACTTTTCATCGATTTCTTTGTTCTTCGTCTTTCTTATTTTCGTCTCTCATTTCTTTTAATTATTCTTTTTCGTTCCCCCCCAACACAATTTTCTCTTTTTTTTCTAGTTCTAAGAATCTTTCTTTCTTTCTTTCTTTCTTTCTTTCTTTCTTTTCCCGCCACGTCCTTACTCCGCATGGCGTCCATCTCAGAATGGCGTCTGCCTGCTGCCTCTTGTTTACTAGCCCCAACATAGCGTGTGTCAGGAAAAAAAAGTTCTAACATTCTACATCTCCAGAGTTCTACCTTTTTTTTTTATCCTCTGTTTTATATCCCCATCACCACAATCATCATCACCACAAACAACATCTGAACAACAATCGCAGCCACATCAAAGCTCGTTGACATACATCCAATAAATAAAGAATGTATGTTACACGCTGATCAAAAGAGGACCTAATAAATGGCGAGCGAAGGTCTTTTGAACGGGGGTTGTGGTCGACGATGTCTCATTTAGCATAAAGCTACTAGTGGCTACTAAAGATGGCTGCACAGGGCACCAAAGAAAATTCGAAATGAAGTAAAGAGAATTAGGCAGGTCGATGTGCCGAAAGTGAGCTTCGCATTGTGAATGAAGACATGGAGAAAGAAAATAGGAAGAGAAGAGGAAAGCAAGAGAACGGAAGGAGAAGAAAATGAATTTGGAAAGGAAAGGAGAGGAAGAATAAAACGTTCCCGTTTTCTTTTCTTTCTATTCTTCAATAAAGAGACATATATATTCCTACAGCTTATTTCCATTCAAATTTGCATATTTCAATATATACGTAAGAAAAGGAAAGGAAAAGACAAGCGGATAATTTGACAATGAGATGAACAGACATCGCTCTTCTATATATTTATATTAAAGTACAAGGAAGTACAAGGAAAGGAATATGTTAGTTATAAAATCAATCTATCTCATTCCATATTTTTGCTTCTTTCTGTTTCGCTTTATTTTTTTCTTTCGTCATCGCCGGCATCTATCTATCTATCTATCTATCTATCTATCTATCTATCTATCTCATTGTATTCTTTTGTTTCTATTTCGATGCATTGTTTGCTTGTTTGTTTATTTGTTTGTCTGTTTCTATCTATCTATCTATCTATCTATCTATCTATCTATCTATCTATCTATCTATCTTTTGTTTTTTTGCAACATATAGGCATAGATATATATAGAAGATATTCATACAATGTTAATAGCGTTGAACTGCGAATATGCATACGTTTCAATATAAGTGTATAGATAAGTGCAAATATGACATTGTCCATGTATTGACCCAGGAAAGAGAAAGTGTGATGCGTTAAAATCTGCATTGATCAAGTTGTCACACTGACATTATTTTCTATCGTTCATTTTTTGTTCATACACACACAAACAAACGCACACGTGCGCACTCATATGTATATGTCATAGAATATACATTTTTGAGTATGTACACATATATTCGCATGCATATGTATTCCTGTATATGTATAGATGTAAGAGCGTGCTGCGAATGACATATAACGAACGAGAATAGAAATAAAACGACAGACAGAAGGACACCGACGGAGAGAAAGATATAGAGTTTAGCGTGAGGCTGTTGGGAATTGAATGGTGAGGAGGGTTGTACTGGCGGATGGGGGTGGGGTGAGGACAAAGCGAGGCTGAGAGCCGTTTCGATGAGGTCGGATGTTCGTTAAGGGTGAATTCTCCACGACTCAACATCTCAAAGAGGTTCACTTCTCGCGTGACTTGAAGCGAGATGTCTCGCTGTTGATAATCAAGCTGTGACATATTCATACCATGTTCATTTAGTCTACAACTATTTATTGTTGTTGTTGAAGCTATTTTTGACTTTTTTGTAGCTGACTTGAGATCTCCCCCATATATATATATATATATATATATATATATATATATATATATATATATATATATATGGATCTATTGATGGACGACAGTTGGTCTATTTTTCCTCACAGACTTTGTCTTATGACCCTAGTTTTTGCTTAGATGCAAATATATTTTGTAAGTTTTGTTTGCTTCAGAAATGAATATTTTAAGTTATTTAGGCGCTGTGGCGATTCTTACTTTTTGTTCTAGAAAGACAACAGTGGCTTTCATTCCTTTCTTATTCTCTTCTATCTGTATTTCTCCCTCCCTCTCTCCTCCTCTCTTTCCTTATCTATCTATCTATCTATCTATCTATCTATCTATCTATCTATCTATCTATCTATCTGTCCACGCTCATTCATATCTATCTATCTATCTATCTATCTATCTATCTATCTATCTATCTATCTATCTATCTATCTATCTATCATCTATCTATCTTATTCATATCTATCTATCTATCTATCTATCTATCTATCAGTCCACTATCATATCTATCATCCATCTATCTATCATATCTATCTATCTATCTATCTATCTATCTATCTATCTATCTATCTATCTTATTCTTATCCATTATTCATATCTATCTATCTATCTATCTATCTATCTATCTACGCTTATTCATATCTATCTATCTATCTATCTATCTATCTATCTATCTATCTATCTATCTATCTATCTATCTATCTATCAGTCCATCCATCTATCTATTCTATCTATCTATCTATCTATCTATCTATCTATCTATCTATCTATCTATCTATCTATCAGTCCACGCTCATTCATATCTATCTATCTATCTATCTCTATCTATCTATCTATCTATCTATCTATCTATCTATCTATCTACGCTTATTCATATCTATCTATCTATCTATCTATCTATCTATCTATCTATCTATCTATCTATCTATCTATCTACGCTTATTCATATCTATCTATCTATCTATCTATCTATCTATCTATCTATCTATCTCATCCTTAATGCCCCTACTCATATTTTTCTACTTTTATTCATTTATTAATTCATTCATTTGTTCAGTTATTTATTTATTTATTTATTCCCGAACTTCTTCCTCCATCATTCTTTTTACCATTCACCGTGTCTTTCATCTTATCGCTTCTTTCTTATTCTCAAGATTTCGTAACGAAGACACGACTTTTTTCTTTTGCCATGTGCGCATTTACCATTTATTTTATTTTTGTTTCTTCTCTATTCTCTTTGTACATTTCATTTCAAGGGGTTCGTTTCCGCAATAGTTACCGTTTCACCTTTTTGATCTCTCCGTAGTTACATGGTCGTATGGTCATATCAAAACTCACTGCCTTCTCAAAATCATTACCCCCACTTCGCTTCATCAAATAAACTGCTGAAACGCTGATACGTATTGATATACGGACTTAAGTATGCACACATGCTTATCCACGTCCACCCAGGCTTACAAGCAGATACTCTATATATTTTTAAATATATGGTTTGTGCATGATTTCATTTACGTGTACACGTGTATGTATAAAACAGATCTATGCACTTGTGGCTTCATAAAACATACAACAAACGTGTGTATGTGTGTGTGTGTGTTTGAACATAAAATTCCAAAGGAAGCATCATGCATCCGGCCAAACAGGAAACATCAGAGACGAATAGTTGGGACTTGGCGACAAAATTCTTGGTAGTTTCAAGTTAGGCAAATAAGAGTTCGATAACTTTGGAACAATAATTGCGAACGAAAAGACCGTTCAATGAAATTTGTTGAATTGTCTTAGTTTCTCTCCCTCTCTCTCTCTCTCTCTCTATCTATCTATCTATCTATCTATCTGTCTATATATATATATATATATATATATATATATATATATATATATATATTGGTCAGTTTATATATCTAGCGTGCTTCCTGTCTGTGATAGTTGTATGATTCTTTCGAGGGTTTTGGAGTCAGTTCTCCAGCCGAAGTAAAAGTCAGTATTTCAAAGGAGCCGACCGTAGTCGAAATCACCGAATCAATACGAACGATCATTTCCTTAGCTGAATCCTATGTGCTTCGCCAGGGCTACATACATGTATGTGATATTTAAAAAAAAAATTCTTTTAAAAGTAAATTACATCAACAAACAGCGCACCATAATTTACTATCTCTATATCAGCCAGTGGATTAATGTATTTGTACTATTTGTAAATATCATCCTCGGTATGACGATAAACTACATCCGGCAGCAAGGCCTGTGATCTGGAGGATTTGAGGAGTGGGAAACCACTTCTTAATTGCTGTTGTTTACAGGTCCACCCTGACTCAGGTTGCTAGCATCTGTTAGGGTCTCAGAAATGGGTAAGCATGAACCCCCAAATTGGGGGTTAAATCATGGAAATTAAAATAATACATTAGAAAAATTACCAAAAAATATATTTTAATAGTAGAAAAAAAAATTGCCAATAATACATTTTTATAGTAAAAGAAAAAATTGCCAATAGTACATTTTAATAAAAGAAAAATTGCCAATAATACATTTTAATAGTAAAAGAAAAAATACCAATAGTACATTTTAATAATAAAAGAAAAATTGCCAACAACAATGCATTTTAATAGTAAAAGAAAAAATGCCAATAATACATTTTAATAGCAAAAAAAAAAAACAAAACAAAAAAAAAAAACGAAACGCCAAAAAAATTGCTAGCAACACATTAAAAAAAAAAACAAACAAAAAACAAACAAACAATTCTCTCGAGAAAATAAAATTTCGGTATTAAATGACCCATAAAGAGTCGATATGCCGTTAAACAAACAAACCAAACATATTTAAAAATATGTGCTTCCAGTGAAACTTTGTGTTCAGCCACTGTTATGCTTGTCTGATAATAGTTAATTTCAGTAAATTCTTGTACGCATGCGCATAAACTTATCTTTAATCCCTAGGCAGTATTTCACCTTTTTTCTTTATGAAATAGTTCCTTAACATTGTATCCTATGAATATTCCTCTTGTATATGAATATTCCTCATATATACGAATATTCCTCTTATATCTGAATATTCCTCTTATATATGAATATTCCTCATATATCTGAATATTCCTCTTATATATGAATATTCCTTTTATATATGCCCTGACCCATAATTTCCTGTCTTTTGTAAGGCTCTCTTTGTTTATTATACGCCCGAGAAATTTCAACAGTCTCTTTCTGATATTAAGTATAAGTGTCTTTTCTGTTTCCATTTTCTTTAAAACTTCGTTGTTGCTCACATTTTAGTCCATAGTATTCTCAGCATCCTCCTGTAGAACAACGTCTTAGTTGCCCAAAGTTTCTTCTTCATCCGTGAGAATATTGTCCAGCATATAGGAGGACCGATATTACATAACACTTCAGCACTCTTTTCTTTATTTCTAACGAAAAGTTCTTGTTTCTTAATAAGTTGCTTAGCTTCTGGAAGGCATCTTTCGCTATCCCAATTCATCTTCGGATTTCGGTGTCGCGTTTTCCGTTTTATGTTAAAACACTTGCCAGATATTTAAGTTTTTGTACTTGATTTTGGTCTCTCCAATTTGTAATTCACTTCTTGGGCTGTTTTTTTTCCTCTGACAACCATACATTCTGTCTTCTTACAATTGATATTTAGTCCTTTATTCCAGTCTGGACAAAATTCACTGGATATTCCTGTAGTTTCCTTTCTATATCTACTATCAATACTGTGCCATCTGCCTATCTAATGTTGTTAAGATTGTGGCCGCTAATAATGAATCATCGTCGGAATTCTAATTCTATCTATAGTGTTAAGGTTGAATAAATCCGGTGAGAAATCATATTCTTGTCTTACACCAATTTATATTTTTTTCATATTTACCGAATTCATTTTCTATCTGTCTGCAGGCAGTTTTCTCCCAGTATATCTTTTGGATAATCATAATATTCTTCCCAAATAAATCAAACTTACGCAGCTGTCCAAACCGTTCTTTCTGGCGTACTTTATCAAACACTTTTGCGTACATTAGTGTTTTCGTATCTACAGTCTTAAGCAGAAAATCCTGAAATAAGCCTATTTACAAACATAAATATATATGAGGAATTACTGAATGAAGCTATACACAGACTAAAGACTGTACACAGTTTATCAGCACCTAGGATTAAATCATATACCATTGCATGATATCCATGTTGTATTACATCAGTGAGTTTTATTATAAAAAGGACGTGAAAGCTAAGTCCTGCTTATACTATTAGATGTTCACTATAAATGTGGTAGTCCTGTGTTTGAAGATAAACTATATTCTGCAGCAAGGCCTCAAATCAGGAGATTGATGATGTTCCCAGATTTACCCTGACTCAAGGTAGTAGCACTTGTTAGAGTTCCAGCTATGGGTAAATTGTGAATCTCTAAACAAAAACAAAACGCTATGAAAGTATAGAATTCATGTTTATGTAAGACAAAATTACCATCAATTCACATTAATACAAAAAATAGCAACACTACATCTTTATAGTAAAATTAGCAGCACTACATATTTATAGTAAAATTACCAACAATAAATATTTATAGTAAAATTACCAGCAATACATTTTAAAGCAAAATGCCCAGCAATACATTTAATAGTAGAAATAAAAAAATGCATTTTATAGTAAAATGACCAACAATAAATTTTAACTGTATTTAAAGGTATACATTTGCACTCAAAATATATTTAGTTGAAGCCATAAAATTGTGTTAAAATATTTAGATTCCGGCATTAAATAACCCATAGAGTTGTTGATATGCCGCTAAAAAAAATCAGCCAACCAACGTGAAATCTAGAATTCTGATGTCTTTATGTGATTTTACGGTCTGGCAGAAATCAGTGAATTAACAGATATATTCATTTCTGAGATGAAGATTAAAATTCGAAAAATTAACACCAGGGATTATATAGGGACGCCGGATTGATATTTGTTAAGATGATAAAGGCTGATTAAAGGTGCTCAGTATTCATGTTGAAATAAATTTGAACGTGGTGAAGTTTTTAAACGTGAAGTTAAATTTGAACAAAGGATTGGTTGTGGCATTTAGAAAACCAGTGAGTAAAATACCATATATAAATTTTGAATCAAACCACCCAAAGAATGTATTCAGACATTTAGCAACAGGATAACTCAGATTATTTATCAAGACGTCGTACATTGAAATATTTAATAAATCCAAGTTGGATCATGAGTTAACCTTCAATCTCGAAGAGTATCAAGTTGAATTAAACTACCAGGAAGAGCAATCCGCTGACAGCAATGCTAAGGAATATAAAAGAAAAGTAATATGGTTTAATTCTCCGTTCAATATGGCTACAAAGATCAGAATTTGAAAAAAAAAAATTTTTGTATTATTGAACAGGCAACGCTGTATTTAATATCCAATAAAAAACACTATCAAAATTAGTTACAGCTGTATGCCTAATATAGGTAGTTTAATGAAAAGACAAAACAAAAATAATCAATGGAGCAAGAACACACTCGCAGCCAGAATGTAATTGCAAAAATTAAGAGCAATTGTCCGTTGTATAGAAAGTACCTGACTGAAAATATACAGTATAAATCAGTCAACACAGGCAGCAGAGGGAAAAATAGTTTATATTGAGTCCACTGGACAGAGATGTGAGATGTACTGATCAAAAAATGCTGAAAGGTAAATAAATTCACTACATTTTCAAAATATTTATCATATATTAATAAACTTGCAGGAATTGATAAAACAAATAAGTAGTTTTATGAATAAAGACATATTTTGTAAATTATGTGTGGAAGGGAACCTGGTGATAATCTCACAGCCAGATTCCGACAAACTGTTTACTGCCGGTCTAGGAGTGTTTACTAAATGTCGTTATACTTACTATGAAATACTCATTTCCATTTCCTAGGCTGGTCTATACTTGTTTAGTTGTATATACAATGTGGCTAGCGATGGAATCTCTGGCCGAATCCGTCCTTAATGCCAGGTAGGTCTATGAAGTTCGTTGTTAATAGCTAATTCTCTGGGGCGCATGAGATCAATGCTGGTGCCCGCGAGGTTTCCTCCTCGGCTTTACCCACTTTCTACTTTGTATTAACGATTTACTCAAAAACACTCGAATCATTAGTAAATATATATACAGATGGTACCAATGTGCATGGGTGCACCTCTAAATAATTGATGACAATGCATAGTAGCTGATCTCTCCTTTGACTTAACTCTATAAGAGTTAACCATTTGCCAACGAGGGTTTGCGGAGGGGTGATTAAAATCCATGTGTTATAAGTGGAGCAATGATTCTCCTAATTTTAGATGGGAGAAGTTGCTCAGCCCCGTAGATTCCAACTCTACGGCAGCACCTTCCTCATTGCACTAAAGAGATTGGGTAGGTGTAATACCGATGCCAGCGTGATAGAGGTCGCTGGGGCTAGGCAAAAATCAATCTTGGTCCATATGCATAAGTATGCATATGTCGCTTCCCACGTTAAAATGACCTTGTGTCCCATCCAGCCTTGGTGCGGAGGCCGGGTAAATATCCCTGACCTAACTCTCACAGCTCAATTGGGAAAAGACTAGCTGGTAGCCTCCAATATATCCAAAACTAAACTAGTATCATTTCATCAACACCGAGCAGATCCCAAACCTTCACCAATCCTGATGAGTGAAGCTCTTTGCTTCGAACGCCTACTAGATCACTCCCGACCTAATATGAAAGGAGTCTATTCGTGTCATCACAATAGATGCTGGAAGACTACCTTTCTTGCCGCCGTTGTCTATCTGTACAAGATTCAGATCAGATCAAGGATGGAGTATATCTGGACTGGTATTGCTCAATCCTCATTGTCCAGCCTCGACAGAATTCAAAAGCGATTATGCAGTCGTGCGGGTGATGAATTATTCTCCAACCTGCAACCCATATCTCAAAGACGAATCGTTACTAAACTCTTATTCTATCGCTATTAATATGATAAATGTTCTGACGAGTTACATTCTTTCACAACTAGAACCCGTCATGACATATTCATGGTGGCAGACCATCCACATTCCCTTCGTGTTCCTAAGTAACAAGTTCCACTTAGACAGCTTCTTCCCTTGAACTACTCATTTACCTCAGAGGATGCCTCCATGACAGCTACAATCTTGGTCTCTGTCTATTCTACATATCCGCATAATGTGCATTTCTTACTTCCTCTTCTTCTCTTACAACAATCTCACTCAGGAAATCTCTCCATTGAGTGGACTTTTTTCCTTGTATTGATTGAAATAACTGTTGCACTGCCAAATGGTTTTTTAATTGTGTTCATAGAAAAATATCCTTACGCTTACAAGCGTGAAGATCTTCAAGTGAAACAGAGTTAATCAATAATTAAATATTTAATATATACTTTTCCGTGGTCAATTCGTCGGTAGCTCGGGTTGTGTGACAGGCATGAATCTGTCCTAACACACCTTTTTTTGATTCCTAGAGTAGATCTCGGTAGTACAATATTTTCAATTCATTTTCGTACTTAAAAAAAATCCAGTGTAACGAGCCTTCAATGGATGCTGTAATCTGTTGACTTTTAACCAGATATCGGTACGTTTATTCACTTCTTACGGAATACAATGCTTTGGAACTGTGTCGAGACGACACCGAGAAAGAAGCTCAGTTTCCAATCTAATTGCCTGTGTCTTTTCTATAAATACTTTCATGGTAATTGTTCGGATGAATGCTTCGATATGGTACCTAGACTTCATGAATTTAAGCGTAGTACGAAATTGGCGGCAAGGTCTCATTAATTGACGTATTAGCACTGATTTCTGGCACTGGTTTCTGGCACTGGTTTCTGGCACTGGTTTCTCATTTTTTTTTAAATAGGCATTGTTATTTTTTTGTCTTTTGACAGATAAAATCTATTTTCTATTAACTGTCACAATGCGAGATTGACATTCTTGGTTTAAAAGAAAAAATCGGCTGCAGATGATGAAATTTTCTGTTTCGTTCTCAAGCAAAAGCTCACGGGCAGTTAAAATTTTCTTTTTGCAATTCCTACCCAATTCGCTTGAATTGTTCTTTTTCCTCACACATCTGGTGTTTTGACGTGGTGGCAATTCAACAGTTTTGTTCAAAATTTCTTCACACAAAATGAGTTGTTACAATCTCCGTTTCTAAACCTTTTAAATCACAGCTAACATACGAGCCTTCAGTGCATCTGTATACACTGCACAAATATTTTTAATGCCTCTGTAGTAGTATCCGAGTATACTCGTTTGTTAGGACGGGTAGCCAATCCCTGTTGCAGAAGCCGGCTCAGGCAATATTTGTGTCCGTTCAACACCCACAGAGCCTACACGTGATTTATACAGCAACTATGGACTTTAGTTATAGTTTCTGGGAGGGATAGCCAATTATCTGGCGTGATCAACATTTTGAAGAAGGGCAGCACGCTCAAGTACTGGCCTTCAAGAAGTACGCGGAAACCTGTCACCTTTGTGATAGCACAATCATTGACGGCTCCCAAATAGTTCTGTCTATCCAATTTCACTCACAATGCTTGGGTCAACTCGTGGTAGGGTTTTCAGGTACTGAGGCCGCCTCTACATGCCGATGATCTCAAAAAGTCAGGTTCCTGGCAACTCGACTATAGCGAGATTCGAACCGGAGCCACCTGGTCGGAAAGTGAACATTCTAACCGCTCGGCTATGTGCCCATATTCTGTAGTGGTAATGCTCTTATGAAACTCATATAGTAAGCAATGACGAGTATATTGCTTAAGTTATAATCCTCTATAATGTTAAGCTTTGAAATGTACGATAAATAACAAAATGTCGGATTGAAGAGATTATAAAGTAATCCCCGAAGCAGTTGTATACCATTAATCCCTAGTTTTGCATTGATTGATCCATAATTCATAGCTTTTAAATACCTAATTACTTTCCAAAGATACGAAAAAAATAGTCCGAACATCGCCTGGTGATCTTGCCGTGCTAATGCACGCGGCAACTTATTTTACGATGAAGCCTAAATCATCCATGAGAAATATTAGTGTCTGTTGTGTGTGTTAAAAGGGTAAAATTGAATATCACAATCACCAAAAATGTGTTTATTCAATCATATAAGTTTCGGTACTAGGTACAGATATATTTAATTATATTTTCCTAATATCAGGAGAGTATGTTTGCCCGAGGGGAAAGTCTTACGTGATCTTCATACGAAATTCAGAGATAAATATACAGTCTTCGTTAAAATTGCTTTCGTGCACACGCACGCACACACACACACATGAATATACACATAAATACATATATATGTGTGTGCGTTCAGCTGTGTTAACTTGAAAGAGAGAGAGAGAGAGAGAGAGAGAGAGGGAGAGAGAGAAAGAGAGAGACAGACAGACAGACAGAAGGAGGGTATGTAAGTGTGCATATGCGCATATATTCGCATACGCAATCACAAATGCACGCCTGTGTTTACACCAATACACACATACGATGTGTTATGGGGTCCTCCCCTTTTCATATAAGTGGACTCTACTAGTGTTACTTGGACTGATGCCGTTAAATACCCAAAGTTAGACAGTCAGTGAGAGAGGATATACGAAGTGAGAGAATATACGAACGGAGATAGTGTGAGGTAACCTCTTGTAGAAGTCAGTTACAAGCACGTAGACTCTAAGGAAGTCCTACTTCGTGACTGTATATATCCATCTGTATTTGCTACTAACCGCGTTCCTGGACTTACTAACAGTATTACTCTTTGTATGATTGTGTAAATACATTTTATTTCTTATATTTAATTATTGCGTTTGTCATTCCTTGGAGACCGAATTCATCTCGGAATCTACAACACGATGCATAACTCAATCTAACACTTTTAACAGGTATAGAGATTATTGATCTGTACTTCTTCCTTATGTGACGTGTCTCATCAGGACACAGGCAATCATGGCCCTCCACATGTTCCTGTTCTTTGTCGGTCTTAATAAAATTTGTGTTTTAGCCATTTCTCCCAAACTCTTTTCTAACATCCATTTACTCAAGCCGATCAAGTCTGTTACGCGCTGTTTCCTTCTTTCTATCAAGCTATCCTGTGAGTATCAGATTTTCCAAGACATTCTTCCTATTTACGTGGCCCTGAAAACTTTTTTTACTAATGCAAAGTATGTTTCCTTTTTGCTTCCATTTTCTCTAAAATATTCAGTCCATAGTATCCTCAGCATCTTTCTGTAGAACTACATTTCTGTTGCTTCAAGTTTCTTCGAAAACTTTGAGGTATATTTTATATATCTATCTATCAATCTATCTATCTGAAGTATTTTCATATCTATCTATCTATCTATCTATCTATCTATCTATCTATCTATCTATCTCAGTTTTTCCATATCTATCTATAGAAGTGTTTTCATATCTATCTATAACAGTCTTTTCATATCTATCTATCTATCTATCTATCTATCTATCTATCTATCTATCTTTCTATCTATCTATCTATCTATCGTCTGTTTATATCTATCTACTATTATATGTATCTTCGTCATTAATTGCAGTGTTTTACAAACGTTCTGCAATTTCTGTTCGGATAAAGAAATCTAAATTTATAGGATAAAGGGAATATCTCACTAAATCAAGAGACACTTATTTAAAAAATATTTGATTACCAGAAAATAAATGCCAAAACAAAACAAAACAAAACAAAACAAGTGGTTTTATTCAAACAATTGCGAATCTAACTATATAAGACATGCTACGCATATATTCATGAAATTTGATTATGAGAAATAGTTTATTACACCGACATCTAGATTCTGCCGTCAGCTTCAAAGAAGGCTCGTTTAATATGCATGTATTTACTAAAAAAGAGTAATGCTGACAAAAGTCAGCGGCTAAAAGTCCGAACCCTATCCGATTCTCGCGTTGCTCAAATTTCTCCTACTAAATATAAAATTGTAATTTGCTGATAACTCCGGTGTAAAATTTCTCTGGTTTGAAATGCGAAATGTTTTTTCCTCGTAGATTCGTTTGTGTAACCAGGTCAACAATGGTGACAACAATTATCTCAATTACTGGGATCAGGAATAATCATTATTTACATTCTGGGATCAGGAATAATCATTATTTACATTCTGGGATCAGGAGTAATTTCTAGGATCAGGAGTAATCATTATTTACATTCTGGGATCAGGAGTGATTTCTGGGATCAGGAGTAATCATTATTTACATTCAGACTAATGAGTTTCTTGATATTATTAAAACGTTTTGGCCGTTGTGGTGTCCAATCCTCTTCAGGTGTCTGTCGATCCGGGTAACGTTTAAGGAGCTTCGAACTGAACACTTTATTTAATCAACGGGGGTATATTGTTCTGGTTCTGTCTATGTCTAGGGATATCTGTCTAAGCTATCTACTGTCCATCCCCGAGTAGCAGACACTTAAACTCAGTATCTCGTTATAAATGTTGTCCATGAGATAAGAGCGTAGTGGATTAAAGTGTTTGGTTGCATAATGATTAGAGTTCAAATCCTGGATCAAGTAATACAGACGTAGCTTCAGTGGGAGTAATGTGTATAAAAACTGCGCAGTTGTAAATAAAGAAGACAAGATATCACTAGAGATTGACAGCAAAAGGAGAACACTCTCCCCCTGTAAATTAAGTAAAGAGTTCAGTTTGTAATTGCTTAAAGATTACACGAGTCGACAGAAACCGGAAAATGGCTGGAGGGTGTAGCAGTTGAAAGTTTGTGATCATAATGACAAAGATCAAGATATTAATATGAAAGTAAATAAATGTGACAATGAGAGAACAAAATTAAATAAATGGCGGTGGAAAAAAAAATTTGTGAATAGAATTGTTGAAACCAAAACGCAAGGAATGACTGAAAGAAGAAAATATATTAATATTAAAAATAAGAATATAGAAAAGATTGAATTAAAAACGTATAGGGAAAAAAGAAACCAGGTAAAAAAGAAGGAAAAAATGACAGAATTAAAAAAAGAATAACATCCAAACGACCACTTAAATAACTGATATAAACGACCTTCAACTTCATTAAAAAGCAAGCTTTTCTATCTTTCTCACTGATAAAAATGAAGAAAACATGTAACTAAAATATAATATTTAAATTTCAGAATAAATTAAGAAGAAAGATCAGTTCTCCCCCCCCCCCAATCCGTTTTCCCTCATATCAGCGGCAATCCAAAGAATTCTGAAAAAAAATGTAGGGGAGGCAATGATTTTCTTGTGATGGATTCGTGCGTTCACATGCAGGGATGCAGTTGCTTGGGTTTGCGCAAAACGTAACCGGCATCAGCACCTCATCATTCTTCAAAAGAAATTTCTCGACAGTCGATAAAATCTTCTTATAACCCCGGAGTCCGCTCTGGCTTCGTTCCGTGTTGTTGATCATCGTTCCGGCTGGCGAACAGTTGACCAATATAAAAGGGTAAAATCGACTCGGCGTTGAATTAGGGAAGAACGTTGAAAACTAGACGAAACGAAACGGATAAAAGAAACAAAGCAAGTATAAACACAAAATAAACAATAAAGAAGTGCAAACAAAAAGAAAGGAAAGACAACTAAATGAAAAGGGAAACCACTCAGGACAGAAGACGAATGAAAAATAACGATCAACGAAATGAAGATGGTGTATAAAATAACGGAAGAAAATAGAAGAAATAAAAGGGCGTTATTGCTGCTGCTGCTGTTTCTGGGAATAATAATAATAATAATAATAATAATAATAATAATAATAATAATAATAATAATAGAACTTTGTCTATGTAACGCTATAAAAAAAAAAAAAAAAAAAAAAATTAACATGAAATGTGGCCATAACAACACACCACGACCTGCCTTAGGTCTTTCCGCAGACTTGGTAGGTAGTGTGTCCATAGCAGAAATAATAATAATAATGATGATAATGATAATAATAATAATAATAATAATAATAATAATAATGCTACTACAAATACTACTACTACTACTACTAATAATAATAATAATAATAATAATAGCGCTAATTCATGATAACAAAAATTGATATAACAAATTTTATTAAACTTTGTCTATAACTACCAAAGACATTTTTGTGAATAAGCCTTAATCCTCGAGGAATGGGAAATCGGAGATTCGAGTTCGAATTCCGGTTGAGTTCGTTACAAATACTCTTGGAAATAGATATGAATCAATCTCTTCTAACGCCAGTTATGGGTTCAATAGCAAAACATACTGGGTTCTATAACCTTCGTTGGTAACCTTTCGAGAGACGTTTACTCGATAATATCGCCCATCTCCCAGCAAGAGTGGACTACGTGTTGGGATCCATCGACCCATCAAAAACGCAAATGGACTGAAATACTTCAATCGTGTCATATCCTCATTCTGACGCAGGCGGAGAAAAATATTTCGATGAAAATGATTATAAAATCATATGATTACTGATAGTTTCATCTTTTATGTGGCATATTCTTTCAGGGTGTAGGTAATCTATAGCTTTCTAACCTTCTAGCTCTTAGATTTCAATTTATAGAAGCTGGTTAGAAAGGTTACTTGATATCTTTTTTTTACCGTCCGGTGTTTGACGATAAAGTACATCCGCGTCCTGGGTAAGATGTTAAACTACATCCAACAGCAAGGCCTCTGATCAGGAGGTTTTGAGGAGCGTGGAAGCTCCTCTTAATTGCTAGTATTCCCAGGTCCTCCCATAACCCTGGGTGGTAGCACCTGTTAAGGTCCCACCTATGGGCAAATAGTTAACCCCCAAACTGGGGTCAAAACACAATGAAAGTGTAAAATAGGTTTTAATACCAGAAATACTTTGCAAAAAATTATTACCACCAATAAATCTTTCAACAAAAAAATTATTACCCGCAATACATTTTTGAAAAAATAAATAAATAAAAAAATACCAGCAATATAGTTTTGAAAAAAAATATTACCGTAAATTTTTTGAAAAAAAACCCCCAAAAACACCAGCTATACATTTTTGAGAGAAAAATATTACCAGAAATAGATATTTGAAGGAAAAATATTACGGGAAATAGATGATTTGAAGAAAAAAATATTATCAGTAATAGGTATTTGAAGAAAAAAATATTACCAGAAATAGATATTTGAAGAAAAAATATTACCAGAAATAGATATTTGAAGGAAAAATATTACCAGAAATAGATTTTTTGTAGAAAAATTATTACCAAAACTAGGTTTTTGAAGGAAAAATTTTTCCAGAAATAGATGATTTGAAGGAAAATTTTTTACCAACAATAAAAATTTTGTCGGCATTAAATAACCCATTGAGGTTGATATGATGTAAAACAAACGAAACCTAGTTCTTTTCCCTTCACTATATCTAGTGAGTGTCAAATTCAAATTCTCCAAGACTTTCATCCTCATTATATATCCAATAAATTTCATATGTCTCTTTCTAAGTATCAGTGTCCTTTTAGTTTCCATTTTCTTTGAAATGTCCGCATGTTTCGTCCATGGTGTTCACAGCATCCTTTTGTAGAAAAAAGATCTCTAGTCTCCTCTTCATCTTTGAGGAAATTCTTCAGCATTCACTTTCACACAGGAGGACAGGAGGATTGTATTTTAGCCTTCTTTTCTCTGCTTCGAACAAAAATTTCCTGTTTCTTAATACGTTGTTTAGCCTTTTGATGGCATCTTTCGCTATTCGTCTCTTTTCTCTGTCTCTTTTCCCATCATCTGTTATAAAACTTCCCAGATAGTTAAATTTCTATATTTGGATGATTTTGACATCCCCGAGTCATAGTTCAAATCTTGCTTTACGTCTTTCTGCATATTACTGCTCGCTTTGCTAGGATTCTGATTATTTTAGTACATTCCAATACTGAAAGGTAAGAAATACTATTAGGAAGATTGTAGAGAGCGAATCTTTCAAATGGGAAAGACCTACCTTTCTTGAAAAAGAACATTCGGAATCTTGGGTTATTTGCATATAATAATAATAATAATAATAATAATAATAATAATAATAATAATAATAATAACAATTATCATTATTATTATTATTATTATTATTATTATTCTTTTTGCAAAACTTATTGGATTTCATCAGCTGATTTTGAACTTATTGTATGCCATGGTACATCTCACAGGCGTCCAGTATTTTTCTAAGTGTTCGTGCTGTGCCAGTTAAGCAACCTTTTGCAACAGATAAATCTCACTGGTAAATCTTATGTTTTCAAACGAATGGGAAAAGATTTTCTGATACTATTCCCAGTGCCTCGATTATTGTAGGCACAATCTGTACCATTTAGAAATTCCATATTCTCTTGTTTTCGTACTTTAAGTCTGTACACTTCTCAATTTTCTTCCTTTTCGCGTCTTCTTTCGTATTAAACGAACAAAAAGTATCAATAGCCTTGGAGAATTTGAAAAAAAAACTAACAAAAGATACTTGAATTTAACAAAAGTATAAAAAATCTTGAATAATTTGGCACTCACTAATCAGTCAGTTATGTGCCATGCATGATACACGCTTAGGCGATCATGTATCTTTCGATACATGACTGACGAGACAGTTATTTTCCCTCAGTAGGTTGCTATTTCTTTCTGCAGTAGACTGTAGAACCCGTTCTGTCCTGCTATTTACCCATAGCTGGAGGGGGAAGAGGATTCATACCTTTCTCAAGGGTATTAGCACATAAGTGAATGTAATGGATTCGATTGTAATAATAATAATAATAATAATAATAATAATTATAATAATAATAATAATAATGAGTGATGGTGTCGTATACCAAAGGGTGACGTTAGGATACAAATATACGAAGTCTAATATACTCCTCATGACAACTAGTCTGATAAGCACATACATCACAAGCAAATGTGCGTTGCGTGGTCACAGGGTCTCCAATTGAGTGCGTTCTCAAATCTCTAGATATGAGTCCTAAGTAGTAATGGCTGACTAATCTTTCAAACTTAAATGAAACAACAATTTCGATACACAGCTATGATGTGTCCCCAGATCATTCCCATTTATGAACAGAGATGACCAGTGTATCTGCTCCGAGGGAATATACCAACTGGTGAGCTATACTTGTGAGTAAATTTGTTTGTATTTCATGAAGACATGGGCTCTCAGGAATCCCTTCAATGAGTCTATCACGACCATTACCAATCAGTCCGAGGGTTCCAACTCCAGTCGGAATTATTGATGTCTTCACGTACCACATTTTTGAGATTTCTACTTCAAAATGTTTGTATTATGTTTTTTTGAAGATCTTCAAAGATACATTACAATCTGCAGGGACTGTTATGTCAAGAAACAGGCATATTGTGTTTTTGTGGTCTTTGATCACGATATATGGGCTATTAGCTCAGATTTTTTCTGTCTTTGTGTATTGTAAAGTCCCATAAAATGATTACATGACCTATCTCTGTAACCGGGTCTGAGAGATGTTCATATCAGTTTTTCTTGCAGTTTCCTTCCCTTACATGTTTCATATTTTCCAGTGCAGATAGCATGCCGAGTTTTATATTCAGTGAGTACTAATATTGCAACCTGATACAAGGTGGTCAATTGTTTCTGGATATTTATTCATTATTATTATTATTATGATTATTATTATTATTATTTTATCACACAATATGGGAAGGTTTTTGCGATAGCACTAAAGTATGATTTCGTGTTTCATGTCTGTATATTTCCGTTTTCTTTCTCGACTATTTTCGTATCAAACAGACAAGCAACGTCAATAGGGTAACACATTCGGTTTTCTTTGCTGAGGCGCGAATGTTAAATGACTTTACCCATTTGAATGTTCATGTCCTGTAAGATCTTCACTTTTTTCATCTACGATAATTCCTATTTATAGTTCTACTATTTATCTGCCCGATCAAGTCCAAAATTTTGCCATTATTATTGTGATAACATCCATCTTCATGTTCACGCAATTTATCACCGAATACTAAGTGATAGCAAGTCACTTCATAACATTTTCTTACTATCATCAAAGTCTCCAGCGCTACTCATTCTGCAGATTTCAAATTCATCCAATATTCATTTTGGTGTCTTCACACTCTGGTCCGCAGGTAAGGCCATTTGTACGAGCTAGTAGATCTTCATTTGCTTGTTTATAACTATCAATTTATGCGTAACAGCCTAGAGTATACACTGACCCAGAGTATGCCCGAGGTTATCTTACGTTAGGTTGCGTTATACTTCCGGGATGGACTACTTTATGCCATCAGGTATAAAATGAGCGAGGCCAAAATGTACTCCTTTCTTTTTTCCATGGAATAAGATCTACATCATTGTACTCACAAATGATATTTGAGGATATTATGCATCATTGTGTGCATCCTGTAGACCTCCATTTTATACTGATTCTTTGGTTTGCACATGAATTCTGGATTGAACGGCACAATGAATTAAATTTTCTAGTAGCAGACCTTCATATCAATAGAAAACAGACCAAGAAGAGTGATTCTCCAAGCTGATGAATGACGAAAAAAGGTTCTCTAAATATATTAAAAGACAGCAGTTTTGTTTTGGAGGAGTTAAAATTAAGAAGCCATTTCTTGTCCCAGTTAACAACTTATTGAGAATAATTTTTTTTTAGACCAGCTGCCAATTGGACTTTATCAAACATATTAGTTTTTAAGCCAAGTGCAGATAGTTGTCTCATCAACATAGACTGAGACGAGAATTGATGACATCGGTTAGGTCGTTGATGAAAATTATAAAAATTAAGTTCAATGATAGAACCCTGGTGGAAACCCGCATTAATGCAAAAAAATGGTCTAGGAGAGTGGTCATTTCAGGATTTGATAATCAAATCAAAACAATTTTCAGAAATACTATAACTCTTCAATTTGCGAAGAAAACCACAATGCGAAACCTTGTCAAACGCCATCGAGATATCTAAAGCAACAGCTCGAGATTCATCATTCTTATCTAAAGCTTGATAGACTCTTTCATCACTAACAATTAACACATCAGTAGTTGATTTATTTAACTTACACTGCGAGATAATGTTAAGAGAACTAGAAGTCCTACCAGGATGTACTGCTGATGGACACAGTCTTAACAATATAAGATAGATATCACAATGTGGATGAAAGACAGAAAAAAACCCTGCAGGATTTCCTACACTAGGTGGCTAAGTAAAGCGAGAAAACGAACTATTATCTATAAGAAAGTATAAGGTATAATGTTAGCTCACGGTTTAAGCTAAGTCTTCTTCTTCATCATCTATGTGCCGTATCTCTTCAGGACGTTGGCGATCATGACTCTCCTGTTCTTTGTAAGTCTTAATAAATTTTGTCTTTTGCTAACTCTCCTAAACCCTGTTCTTTCTTTCATTTACACAATCTCGCTGGGTAGGTTACGCGTTTCTTTCCGATCTCTCTCTTGTCTTCAATCTATCATGTGAGTATCTCCATCTTTCTTCACTATGTGCCCTAGAAATTTCAATTGTTTTTTTCTGGTGTTATGTGTCCTTTTTATCTCCATTTAATCTAGAACCCTGTCTTTGCTCATATATTCAGTTCATGGTATTCTCAGAATCCTTCTGTAGAACATACTAAGTATTAGAGACATTAAAATTAAATATGCATTAAAATTTAGCTCCCTGTGTAATGTAGGAAGAGACAGCAGACACAAAAAAAAAATGAACTGAAATGCGGCGTAATATATAATATCCTGTACTGCAGTGAATGCTGGGAAGTTACTCAACAGATGAGGAAGATGAACGGACTTGGCTTTAAAGATGGATTCTCAGAATATCATCGATAAAGCAGTTAAACAACGAGGAAGTTATAAAAATGAAAGCTATCCAAAGAAATGAAAACAAGCTAAAGAAAATGAAAGCTATCTAAAGAAAATGAAAGCTACCTTAACAGATGGAAACTAGTAAAAAAAAAAAAAAAAAAAATGAAAGCTATTCAAAGTAAATAAGACCTATCTAAATAAAATGGAAGGTATTTAAAGAAAATGAAAGCTATCTAAATAAAATGTAAGCTATCTAAACAAAATGAGAGCCATCAAAAGAAAATGGAAACCCGCTAAAGAAAATGAAAGCTATCTAAAAAAAAAAAAATGGAAACCATCTAAATAAAATGTAAGCTATCTAAACAAAATGAGAGCCATCAAAAGAAAATGGAAACCCGCTAAAGAAAATGAAAGCTATCTAAAAAAAAAAAAATGGAAACCATCTAAATAAAATGGAGTCTATTTAAAGAAAATGGAAATGATAAAGACGCTCATACTTAAAATCAAAAAGTGACGTTTGAGATATCTGGGACACATAATAAGGAATGTGGGTCTGGAAAAATTTAACACTTATATGATATTATGTAGAAAAAAGGAGCAGAAAAACGGCTATTAATCTACTTTATGAGTTTGTATGTATGAATAATAGATAGAGAACAAACATGATAAAGAATCAAGCGTTGAGCAACAAGGGACAAGAAGTTGTTGAGAGCTATGATCGGCCACGCTTTGGAGGGATACGACTCATAAAAGAATCATATCACAAGTTAAATACATATTTAGAAATAACAGAATTAGCTATTTGTAATGATCTTTGTCCGTGATAATAAAAATTGGGGATCGAATTAAGAAAGAAAAAGGTATTAAAGGAAGCAATGAATAAAAAGAGGGGGAGCTGTATAAAAGTAAAAATAAAAATAAGTTTTTCTTTACGTTATGAGTTAAAACAAACAAAACGAAGAAATAGAATTCGACTCCGCTCTCAGTAAACAGTAGCTTTAATCTTTGGTAGCTTGTAATATTCGTTTGGCTGCGGAATCTTCTTAAACCTCTACAAATGAAATTGTTTTCAAAGATCATAGCACTGGAGAAAGGGAATTAACTTTGTTGTTATTTACCTCGAATGAAAATACAGTAGCCCATGTCACATCTCTGTTTCCCATTGTTTAAATCACTGTGTTTCAATATCGTTTTTCTTTTCCCTCGATTCGGCTATTATTTCTTTTAAGATTGTCCAGAACTCTTCGAATTTAAGCTTTTATTTTACCTTTAATTTCCTGTGTTTCAGATACAATTTCAATACCACATTTCCCTTCTTTCTTTCTTTCTTTCTTTCTTTCTTTCTTTCTTTCGTTCTTTCTTTCTTTCGTTCTTTCTTTCGTTTGTTCTTTGTTTCTTTCTCACTTTTTCTTTCTGTCTTTTTTGTTTGTTTGTTTGTTTTTTCTTTCTTTCTTTCTTTCTTTTTTTCTTTGTTTCTTTCGTTTGTTATTTGTTTATTTTTTATTTTTTCTTTCTTCTTTCTTTCTTTCTTTCTTTCTTTCTTTTTTTCTTTGTTTCTTCCGTTTGTTATTTGTTTCTTTTTTATTTTTTCTTTCTTCTTTCTTTCTTTCTTTCTTTCTTTCTTTCTTTTTTCGTGCATGTTCCAGGACGTTCATCACCGATCATGAACCGGCCTCACTTTACCTTCCTATTTATCCTGTAAGTATTTTACTTTTCCTCTCTTTATCCAATCTCATTTAATCTGTTCTCTTTCTTTCACGTTATAACAACATCCAGCTTTCCTCTCTATTAAATTTGTCTTCTATTTCCTTTCAGTTTCCGTTGCAATTATCCAAGCTTCTTCACCACTCCCTTTATTCAATACAATTTTCACATCGACAATAACCATGAATTTACTTTTTCTTCCAAAAATGGCTTTTGGCTGTAATTTTTTCCTTTTTTTTTAACATTCGATCAGTCCCACTCCTCTTATCTTTATGTCTCGATTATAATCAATAAACTTTCTCCGTTTTTGTTTTTCTTTCTTGAACTATTCTTATAATTCTTCCAAATTCCACAGTCCCGTTTTCTGTACTTAGCTAGCACGGATCTAAAGGTGTCCGCTCCCTTTATAAGCGCCTACCACATGACGTCACTCATGCCATTAGATAGATTCACACAGAAAACCGTTAACGTTTTTTTTTTAGCATCTAATATTTCTTGACCATTCACGGTGAGTCACTTTTCTCTTTTTCTTTTCACAACGATCTTTTTATCTACCTTCATTGTGAGCTTTTTATGTTAAAGTGGTAAATTCTCTTTTTATTATTTCCCATTTTATGGCACCTAGTGACCGTGTAAATTCGTTGATTGCTTTCAGAGCTTTTTACTTCTACATGTTTCTGGGAATATCTCAAACAATAAGCTTGATTCTTCTGCGCACACGATAAAACTTTGGTAAATGCTCACGGACAACGCAGACTTAAGCATATACATTTTATGATTGTAGATGTATATCTCATTACGTTTATTGTTTACATACGTCGAAAATACCTGCATGAATATGAATATGTTTGAATCAAGATACCAATAAAGAAACATATGTTACAGAATTATAAACATTACACTTATAAACAAAAGCAAAGAGCAAGGAAGTATATGCAATCAATAAAAAATTTCACACATCTAATCGTGTATACATTTGTAGCTTCCTTATAAGGAAACATCTGGTCTGGACTGATTTGATTTGTTTAACGGCATATCAACACCTTATGGTTCATTTAATGCCGAAATTTAATTTTCTTGGGTGATTTGGTAATTTTTTTTTTTTTCAAAAACGTTGACTGCCCCTGAACCCGTTTATACGGGTTTAAAGAGGGAATATATTTGTGGGAGCCTTCAGGCTCGGAGATCCCACGTTAAATCCGGCCTTGTGCCACATATAACCCTCGTGGGGGTAGCTAAATATCACTATTTGCCCATAACTTGGCTAACAGTCTAACTCTCTGCTTTCGGACGGAGAGGAACCATGACGAGGCTCCGCCGAAGAGCAGAGTCTCGTTCGGGGTGGCTGACTTGCCCCTGAACCCGTTTATGTGGGTTCAAAGAGGGTATGTTTTTGGCCGAGACTACGGACTCGGAGATCCCACGTTAAACCCGACCTTGTGCCACGTGTAACCCTCGTGGTGGTGGTGGTGGGGGGGTAGCTAAATATCACTATTTGCGCATAGCTGGGACACTAACAGGTGCTACCACTCCGGGTTAGAGTGAACCTGGGGGCAACAATAATTAAGAGGTTGTTCCACGCCTCTCAAAACCTCCCGATCATAGGTCTTGCTGCCAGATGTATTTTATCGTACATTATTTACATTATTCAAACTATTGTCCTCATCTTTGTCGCCATATTTATCACAACGTTTCGGCCGTTGTACGCTCGAACTGAACTCTTTATTTCGCTCACTGGTGTAGACTGTTCTAGTTCCACGTGCCATGTTTTGATGGATGTCAGTTATCAGTTATTTCCTGCGTATTTTATCGTCATACCCATGACGGGGAAACATTCGGTATGCATTGACCGAGAGATTTCTCAAGATTATTGTTATTGCTCATTCTTTGGGTTTGGTCTTCTTTTATTTGCTGTATTTCATCAGGATTTCGGTGATTGTGACCCTCCACAACTTCCTATCCGTTGTAGTTTTAAGTAACGTTTATCTCCGACTATCCTTCCTAGTCGTTGTTCTGTCATCCATTTATTCAAACTCGCTAGATATGTTACTCGCTGCTTTTTTCGACTGTTTTTTTTTTATCTTCAGCATGTGCTGTGGGTGTTAAAATCTCCAACCCTTTTTCTCGTTATCTGTCCACGGAGATTTCAAGTTTTTTTATTTGTTTTCGTTTTCCTTAAATATTTCGTGCGGATTGGCATTTTTTCTAAAATGCTTTTATTCATTTACTATGAAAATATACTGCTGGTCATTTTCTAATATATTTTTATATTTTCATGTTTTGACTCCAGTTTAGGGGTGCACTCTTTGCCCATAAGTGGGACTCTAACAACAGCAATTAAGAAGTGATTTCACACTCCTCAAATCCTCCCGATCACAGGCCTTGCTGCCGGGTGTAGTTTATCGTCAGACCCAGGATGATATTTGCAAATAGTACAAGTACATTAATCCACTGGCTGATGCAGAGATAGTAAATTATGATGCACTGTTTGTTGAGGTAATTTACTTTTAAAAGAAGTTATTTTTTTAAATATCACATACATGTATGTAGCCCTGTCGAAGCACATAGCATTCAGCTAAGGAAATGATCGTTCGTATTGACTCGGTGATTTCGACTACGGTCGGCTCCTTTAAAATACTGACTTTTTACTTCGACTGGAGAACTGACTCCAAAACCCTCGAAAGAATCATTTTATCGCTATCACAGACAGGAAGAACGCTAGATATATAAACTGACCAATATATATATATATATATATATATATATATATATATATATATATATATATATATATTTATATTTGGTTGGTTTGATGTGAGTTTGTGACCCTGGGTTTCACGCTTTTGCGATCGTCAGACAAACTGAATAATTTTTTTAAATTCTGCGTTTATGTAGATTGCGTGTATTGGTGTTATTATGGAAGTGGAGGGGGAATCGTCGTCGTGATGTCACTCATGCTAACGCAAACATAGATGCATGTCCGTACACCCGATGAGGTCCGCAGACACACATACACACTCGCTCGTCCGCCGCGCCTCATACAGACATAAACACATGTGGACAGTATGGGATTTGACATATGTATGTATATGTATGCTGTTGTCTATATACATACGCATTTGTATGTTCAAATATGTTAGCTCTATCTCTGATATTGAGCGCTTTCTAATAAGTACCGCGCATATAATATATAAATAATAATATATTTACACACAGACGCACACACACACACATATATATATATATATATATATATTTATATACACACACACTTTTCAATCTCACACACACACACACACACATACATATATATATATATATATATATATATATATATATATATATATATAGAGAGAGAGAGAGAGATAGATAGATAGATAGATAGATAGATAGATAGATAGATAGATAGATGATAGATGGAGAGAGACTAAAATAATTCAACAAATTTCATGGAACAGTTTTTTCGTTCGCAATTATTGTTCCAAAGTTATCGAACTTGAAACTACCAAGAATTTTGTCGCCAAGTTCCAACTATTCATCTCTGATGTTTCCTGTTTGGCCAGATGCATGATGCTTCCTTTGGAATTTCATATTCAAACACACACACACACACGCGTTTGGTATATATTTTATGAAGCCGCAAGTGCATAGATATGTTTTATACATACACGGCTTGCAGTAATGGTTAGCGGAGCCAGTCTAAATGACCATTACTACTGAGTAAATGAAAGCATTCAAAAACCGTATATGTAAAAATATATAGAGTATATGCTTGTAAGCCTGGGTGGACGTGGGTATGCATGTGTATATACTTGAGTCCGTATATAAATACGTATCTGCGTTTCGAACTGCTGTGCTTATCTTTGTTATCATATTCACGACGTTTCGACCTCTGTATATTCCGGCCTTCTTCAGGTGATTGGAATTTCGAACCGAACCCTTTATTTCGTCCACCGGAGCAGATTGTTCTAGTTCTACGAGCCATGACTCTTCGGGATATCTCAGTATCAGTTATCTCCCTTTTAAATCAACTCTTCAAATGTTTGTTCGCCTCTGTTGTAGTCAGGTATTGAACACACAAATCTTTGGGTCAAGTCACTGGATTCAGCCAACGGGCCATGTGTTGTGAGTTTATAGTGTTTCAATAATTACAATACCTCATCTCAGAAATATAGACAAATTTCATTGAATCGTCAGTCATCTTTCAGTCATTCACATTCAATTTTCTACGTTACATTTTCTGTCGTCTGTTTGGTCCTGGTAGGTGGTCGAGTTGACAATGAGTTTTTTTTTTGCAGGAAAAGAGAATTTCGAATTCATAATTGCAAGACATCCAATCTCTTTCAGTCTCAAAATTGACACTAAATAAGTTTTATATTCATGCTCTCTTCATCTTTCTTTGATAAGATGTTACAATCTTTTCCATCTGAGTAATCATCGGAATGTACTCTTTCATTCTTATTTTCTTTCTTTCTTTCTTAATTAATTTATGTATTTCTTAGTTAATATGTGTCAGGTCATTTTACTGGTACCATATAACTAGGTACTAGCTGTTGCATGGGTGACTAGACACCAATACAGGATTAAAAATAAGCTCTATCAAAGACCGAATATAGCTTCTTGGAGAGTCAACGGCCATCTAGCACATTAGGATGGACTAGACTTCATAGCTATGATTCATAAGCGGAGAGCTTTCTAGACTGAGGTCAACAACAAGAAAGGAGGGTTCCCCCGATAGAATCAACGGTCAAATCTCTCTGACCAAGGCGAGCTTTTCAAGTTGAGAGCCATCGGCTGAGATTTGACCAGTACTGGTATGAGCTCCGTCGGTTCTATTTGACCAAGGCACGATTTCCGGCTATGTGGCGATAACTGGTTCGCTGCTTAGCTACTGGTCAAACCTAAGAACACACCCCGTTATAGAACTGATAATCATAATTTGTCATGGCTAAGGCCCCTCGGCTCGCAGTAATGATTACTCAAGCCAGTTTAGGTGACCATTAATACTGAGTAAGGAGTGAAACCGTCACTGGATTCCTAACACATAATTAGGCATTTCAACCCTTGTTGTTTAATTTAACAAAACTTTGCAAACCAATTTTGTACTTGTCGGTCAGTTATTACTCCTTAATCATAAACACCAGATATATATATATCCGTAGCGTTATTCATTTGCTTGAACGTAACATTATGTGAGATAAATAGAACCTTCAATCCCTCCAT